TACTCAGAGCCAGCAACCCCACTGGAGAAGCTGGTGGCAGTTGGTTCTCCCCCCTCCCCCCAAAAAGTGATGGTGCCCCAAAGTCCACAGATCTGACCCACCCAGCTGTGCCCGCCCTAGATTACCCTTGTGCAAGTTTCAAGATCCCTCTGTTGCCCCAAAGGAGGATACTGTGTCAGGGAGCTTGGGGAGGCCAGAGGGTTGCTTAAGGAAGCTGGTTGCTTAAGGAAAGTTATTTTAACAAGTACATTCTACGTATTTTTAGTTGCGTTTCTGATGTTAATAATAGTTCATAGACACAAAAATACGCACACATGCTCAGGCTTGTCAAGAAAGTTCTAGACGTTTCAGATGATTAGGAGGACAGGATGGATCCCCCCCTCCGATCATTGTTCAGAACTCCCCCCCCCCCATTGGAAATAGGAAGGCTCCACCTAGCAAGGAAGGCCCGCTTTGGTCCTGCCAACTGCAAGATCTGCTCCTGTCTAGACCCAGGCCTCATTTAGGGCTGCCTTGCCAGCCTCCAGGTGTGTGTGTGGGTAAGGCTGGAGTCCACTACAGCAGGGTTGCCAATCTCCAGGTGGTGGCTGGAGATCTCCTATCACAACTGATCTCCAGGTGACAGAGATCAATTCGCCTGGAGAAAATGGCTGCTTTGGAAAGTGGATTCCATGGCATTGTGCCCCACTGAGGTTTCTCCCTCCCCTAAACCCCACCCTCCTCAGGCTCCACCCCCAAAACCTGTGAGTATTTTCTGACCCAGAGCTGGGAACCCTCCAGTTCTTATAACATCAGTGACAGCCAGAAGCATTCTTTGTGGGCTCCATTAGATGAGAAGGCTGCTGCTTGCCCTGCCGTTTTGTGCTTTCATTTTTCTTTTAATTTTCAGAATCTAACATTCCTGTCTATAAACCTTAAAGTGCAACCAGTTTTCATTCCTGTTCAGTCTATAAAATAATTCATACATGCAGACTGCATTTAATTAGACTCCAGAGCCAGCTCGGCAACCCGCATGTAAACCTACAGGCTGATTTCGCACTAGAGCTGCCCATAAGACAGAGCTCTTAGTTGAGGTGGTTGGGCGTCCAAATTCTTCCATCTCTTGGCCTCCCCTACTGGTAGCCCTGGCCTGTGTCCAGTGGCCAACGTCACCGGCACAGCTCAGAAGAAATACATCATTGTGTCACTCACTACCAAGTTGTAGAGTCTTGTGAGCAGAAATTCAACTTCGT